ACTCGAGAGATCACGTAATTACCAATAAGGTATGTCCGATAGTTCCTGACTTGTACTAAGTTTTAAATTAAATTTTAAAGTTTTATATTTGCTCCGTTCAACGAACTTTGGACGAAGTGTAGAAAGAGGTGTTTCTGCAACTCCGTGGGCCATTTCTCAAGTTGCATGCTGCAGAGTTATTCTCGAGATAGGAAAGCTAAATAAATATGAGAAATCATGGTTAAAGAACTTCAAGCAATGTAGATAAAACGAACAACGTCTAGGATACGAGTTTTGTTTTAGAAGAGAGTTATTATAAGAATTGTTTTTCAAACAAAGTTCAGTTTATTCCAGATAATAAATTTAAAGAAGTACACAGTGTATTAACACAAATTTTCTCGGATAAATTCATTTTATATAATACTATGAATACAAATGGAAAATCATGAAATAGGTCAATTTGTGTATATAAAAATACACTTTCACAATGACATCATTATAGGGTTTCTTAATATTGTTCTGAAGCTATTTTCTTGTGGCATTTTAAATGAATTACTATTTAACTGGCAATAAGCCACAATTAAAGATAAAAATACGTTTATTGACGTTTCAATTTCCACTTCGGAAATCGTTCTCAAAATACAAACAGTAAATTAAACAAATTTTGTTTTTTGTTACATAGTGAAAAATTATTCTAACGCTGTGCCAATATTGTTGAGTTGCCCTCCTGGGACGACTTTACTTATAAGATAGTTTATTCGATTATATTAAATCAACTTTAACTTGAGAATATTCTTCAGAAAGAATCATAGCATGCAATTCGTCTTTAAAAAGACAAACACATGACATGATGACAGTAAAATTCTTCTGTTAGTGATTCCATAGTAAATTATGAGGCAAAAACACGGAAACAAACCTCATAATACTATCCCGACATGGTAAGTATTTGTTCGTGCATTTAGTTTACCTTCAATAAACACCAAAATTCTGATTTTATATGTTTCGTTATTTAAAAAATATAAATGATGTATCCTCTATATGTTACTGACTTACTAATACTGGTATTTTCTTATTAATAACTTCCTCTTTCAATATTGGTAACCAGATCCTACTACATTCTGCCGAGGAATTTGCGACACAATTGGCCTCAGTTAGCATAATTAGAGCCGCTTCTTTGATTTTTCTTTTTTTACCATCCGTTTCTTTTAGGACTACATTTGAATTATTCCATTGAACCCTATGTTATTATCCCATGCGTGTTTACATATTTGAGATCTATCAAATTCTCTATTTTTAATATAAGATTGATGTTCACTTATTCTAACATTTAATGGCCTTGATGTTTTACCTAAATAAAAATGATCGCATTCACAAGGTACTTTATAAATTCAATTCTTTGTCCTTTCTTGTTCATTGTTAGGTTTCTTTTATGTTTATTATTATAACAAACTGTTCCCTAGTATTACAAATTGTGTTTAGTAATGTCTGCAGTCTCACTTTCAGCGATAATGACTGTATCGTCAGCATAAAGGAAATTATTTATATTTTCACCATTTTTCCTGATCTCTTCTGTACAGACTTCAAGTGCTTGCGAAAATAACTCTTGGAAATAAATATTAAATAGTAATGGTGAAATTACACAGCTCTGTCTCACTCCTCTGCTCATCTGTTGCTTATCCGTGCTATTTCCATCTAATGTTATCTCAGCCTGTTGGTTCCAATTGAGATTTGTCACTATGTTAATGTCATTTTTGTGATTTATTATTTGTCATTTGTAATTAAAAATAAAAAATTATAAACTGGGTATTTGATTAACCTTATTAACCATTTAAGTATCTTATTATTTATATCTACGTTTTCTGTGCATGTTTCTATTTTAATTTTTTTTTTATTTTAAATTGTTACAATTCTACTTTTATAATTTATGTTATCCTAGTTTATCTTAATTTCTTCGTTACCTACTCGTGGAGGTGATATGTTTCAAAAAAACGTACTTGATAATAAGGAACATATAGCGTTTTTATTTTATTTTGTTGAAATTGAGCAAATACATGTCACAGATTGTTAAATTGTAGTTTGTATCATACTACGACAAATAATATACAAGCGTTTTGTCTAAACTAGAAATGCATTAAAACGTTTAATTGCTCTCCCGATTCCGTTTACTAAACTTTACAAAATAATGACTTTGAAGTTAAGGAACAAAACTAGAAGATGAAATGCGACGTCAAGTTTGGGACAACTAGCAAAGTTTCAAGATTGTTTATTGTGATTTCAATTCATGGGCCAAAATGATAAGAAAATGAAAGTTTTATTGACAGTTTTATACATCTATTTAAATAGTAATTATTAATTTAATTTTATTTTATTTTCTCTCATTATTTATTTCATTAGTTAGTCCAGGCGGAATTTGTTTACCAGGGGTCTATTTTTTTTCTGGAATCCCTTCAGAATGTACCTTGAATATTAATTACGATATGATTAAATTGTATACAGTTTTACCTAACAAAATATTAAAAATAATTGTAAATTTTTGCTCCTTATGTTCATATTTTTGCCTATAACTTGGAAGATATATCTGTTTCAAAAAAATATAGATGGTAAAAGTTTCAGTTTTCAATTCTTCATAATATTTATTTTTATTTACTCGTGTGTAATCGACAAATCATCCACTCGCATGACGAAGAGTACAAACAACATTAAAGGAGGTCATAGAAATATTTAGGAGTTTATGATACAATATTATTTTTCTAAAAAACTAAAGAATCCTGTCTATCTGATTGCTATTACTGAGAATGTCGTCCCACAATGTGCACTGTGTTCATGACATTCGATAATAATGTGTTTCACTTTAGCATTTTATCGTTCTTAATAATAACAAAGTTGAATTTTGTTTTAAGAGACCTTTATATTATATTCAGCGTATAATACACGATTTTCATGAAATTGTCGTGTTACTGTTAATAAATTGAGAAGTTGAACAAAGTTGAGAGAGATTTGGACATTACAGTATCAGAAGCCTCGCTACGAAGAATTCTTCAAAATATGAATTTCCGTTGGAGGAGAGCACAGGACAACAGAAAATTGTTGGTTGAAAAGACAGAAATAAGGGCTTGGAGAATCAAATACTTAAGATTTATCAAACATTATAGAAATGAAAATAGACCCATTGTTTACCTCGATGAGACATATGTACACAGTGGACACACTTTGTCGAAAACTTAGAATGATAATTCTAGTCAATGGTTACTGATGAATATTTCGAAGGGTCAACGTTTAATAATAGTGCATGCTGATGGTGAAATGGGATTTATTTAAACGCGCTGTTAAAATTTAAGTCTGGTAGTAAATCCGGTAACTACCTCTTACCTCTTATATTCGGAAACGAATACTACGAATTACCGCAAATCGCTAACGGAAAAACTAATTACAAATTTACCCCCTAACTCAGTAGTTGTTTGCGATAATGCCTCATACCATTCTGTACAAGTGAATCCTGCGACTAATAGTAATTCTAAAAAAAACAATGATATGATTGATTGGCTGATTAAAAACAATATAAAATTTAATCCTCAAAGTATTAAACTTTGAGGATTAATTCGATAAAGATATATTTATGTTCGATAAACTTTTGCGTGAATATGGTCACACTCCTCTACGGTTACCTCCATACCATCCGGATTTAAATCCTATAGAGCTAATATGGGCTGCCATTAAAAATAATATTACACAAACTAATATAACTTTCAAATTGGAAGATGTGAGACAACTGTTGGAAAAACGAGTTAACTCCAGATGAGTGGAGAAAACGATGTCATCATGAAATTAAAACAGAAGACAGTTATTTAACATCCGAAGTCCAAATAGACCGTCAAGAAGATATTAATTCCATTATAATAAACTTAGGAAGTGACGATAGTGACATCGAGTGTTCTTCGGAAGAAGAAAATTAAATTAGATTTTGTTGTTCTTCTTTGAAACATTCACATTAGTTATATGAATTTTTAAAGGGTATGTATATAGAGTTAATTTTATATCTTTAAAGTTTTCATTTACAAATTTAGATGTGCATACCTATATTTTAGAAGGACAGCAATATTGAGGGTAGTCTTTATTATATCGCTAATATATATTTTCAAGAAACGTCTTAAATCGGGTAGGTCCATGAAATTAGGCTTTTCTCAAAGACAGGAATATATTACTGATTATAGACATGACTTTATTATATCACTAAAAGGCTTCCAAGAAGAGAATTAAATCAGGTAGAAGTTCTAGGTACATGTAATTGGGACCGTTCATTACCATATAATTATCCTCACTCTTTAATATTTTGGTATTGTATTGGTATTTGATATTTTGGAAAATACGCTTGACAATTAATTGCTATTTTAAAAATCCATTTTGTTAAACTTATCAATATTCAGAACTTAATAATTCTTTTGTACAATAAAAATAGTTTGTTTGTTCAGGTAAAACGTATTACGAAGGTATTATTGTTTTTGTCTCATCAAATATCTTACTGATCATTTTTCAAATGTTGGCTACATGTTCAAAATTATTGAAAAGTAAAAAATCGCTTTTATTCAGTATATGTTTTAGCTGTATCTACTAAATAGTGCGCGCCACTGTCGTTTAGTTAAAATTTCAGTAACCAATCACCAACTTCAAAGGCGGTTCTTATACAATTTCGATATGCCTCATAATATGCAAATTAGATGCCTTCGTAAATGACGAGACCTCTACTGTTTCTTATTTTCTTGATAATATTCTGTTTTAGTGTTTAGTTTTTTGTTTATCAGTGGGGTGCCTAAGTCAGGGGCTCTTTTAGTTAAAAGTTCAGACCAGGTAAATTATCTTAACTGTTTTAAATTTGTTTGTATATAAAATAAAGATAAATTATAAAATTATCCTTATATCTTTTATGATCGACTATCCTATAGGCAGGAGACAAATAGAATACATTAATTAGGTTATACACACAAACATATATAATACAAAACATTCTATTATAAAAATCTTACCTTGTAATGTCCAAGATCGGTAACTGTACAGCTAAGTACTGCCTCTCTTCCGAGAGCTACTGTAACGTTTTGAATTGGTCCAGAAAACTGCGGAGTCTCATTCGAAAGTCTTGCAGCACTTAATGTTTGGGCTACATTTTGATCTGAAAAGAAAATAAAATTTCAACAAAAACTAAGAAAAAAGAGTAAAAACATTTTAACGAAAAGTTGTCTTTTTTGAAAAAAATAAAAACATTAAAAAAAAATGCCAATTTTTTTCATGTAAATTATGTACATCAGTTCATGAGCACGACGAGCAATGAAAATCATAGGCCAAGCTTGCATATCAGTGTGCATGTTAACTTTTTTATAGATCTTTTTGATGTGACGATTTAGTGACTTGACGAAAAGATGATAAAGGATACATTTTTTTCATGTTCGACATAAAGATTTAATTTTACCGCCAAAAACATAATTGTAGGACATTTGTAGGAAATCTTTGAGTCAAGCATTTAAGCATAGAGGTAAATTGATAGAAAGAGTGGTAAATTGAACTTTATCATCCAAACTAAGTCAACAATTGTTTGTTTTACTTTTAATTGTTGTAAAAGAAGGCTGTTGTTTTGTAATCTAAATAGGACACTTCTTGAAGCACAGCATTATATTTCAAAATTTCACAATTTACAGACAGTATTGGCTTTAGTTCGTTTCGACTCTGTGAGTGATATGATCGCGAGGATGTGTGGGGATGAAGACACGTGGGCAGGAACCTACGCGTTCGTTAGACAGACGCTCAAGTCTAAGAATACTAAAGAAAGACTGTTGTAACTGTAAAAAAAATTGTAGCGTTTAAGCCCAGCCGTCAAGCGATTTTTAACCGGACGTAAGGCGAATTTAGTTCCGAAGATATACCGCCACCATGGCAAATCCTGAACTGCTCTCGTGGAAAAAAAACCACATTTCCATTTTGTGATGTCCTCTCGTAGTAGTCACTATCCGGGTAGCTTTTGGACAGTCAGAGACAGAGTTCAAAATAAAAATAAAACTTTATTGTCTTCCTTAAATTAAATTGACAAAAATCTTATGTTCATATTTACAATTTGGTTTAGTCTTCTCAGTACCTGGCCTATTTATTCAAATTAAGTTTGACCTTGTCATATGAAATTAGTCTTATCGGCAAGCGAGTGTGTATTTGAAATTTTACGAGAACGTTGTATCGATTTAATAACAGCGGACGATAGGTACAAAGAAAGGAAAGGAACTCAACACGTTCCTTAAGTGATTCGGGTTAATAGGACACTCCTCGACAGTCTCAACACGACTGCTTCAGAGTACGGGTAATGAAGAGCTCAACACGCTCTTTGGGTAACGGCGGTATGGAACGGAACAACTTGTGAACTCAACACGTCCACAAGCCGGGGTAGGGAAGAAGAGAACCTTCAGTCAACACCTGTCGATTCCACGAGACTCGTGGTCTTCTTCTGAACCGCACCTAAAGTGCGGTTTAAAAGACGGAGGGTTTTAGTGGGCAGGATTAAAAAAAAATGTATTATTTATATGTATTGTATGTGTGTGTGCTGCAGAGGTCCATCAGAATGTTTCTGTTTTAATTTTTACGATTTTCATTATCACTGTTATGCATATTTTTCTAAACCGAAATAACAACAAGTGCGAAGAAATAATTAGTCAAGAGCAATTCGGGTTCCGGAGATGCCTTGGAACTAGAGAAACACTATTTTCTATGCAAACACTCCTTCAACGATGTTGGGAGGTAAGAAAACCCTTATATATGTGCTTCATTGATTTTGGAAAGGCATTTGATCGCGTTCAACTTACCAGACTAATTACCGCCTTGCAGAGTATCCAACTAGATGAAAAAGACATCAAACTTATTGCCAAACTTTACTGGAACCAAACAGCCATTATTAATACCAACAACAGAGAATCAAAGCCAATCAGTATTACACAAGGCGTAAGATAAGGCTGTATACTATCTCCCACACTCTTTAACGTGTATTCTGAGAATCTATTTAGGGAAGCTTTAATAGATCAAAAAGGAATTATCATAGGAGGAGAAATAATTAACAATATACGGTACGCCGACGATACTGTAATTCTAGCTGAAAACATCGACAATCTGCAGAAGCTAATCAATAGAACTGATATGGAATGCACAAATTGGGGACTGTCGATAAATATCGATAAAACTAAATACATGGTGACCAGTAAAGTGGATATCGGCGCAACCCAACTGATATTAAACCAACAACCGCTGCAGAGAGTTCAGAGATTCAAATACCTTGGATGTTGGATTACTCAAAATCTAGATCCATCCTTCGAAATTCGATGTAGAATTGAACAGGCAAGAAACTCATTTCAAAAATTCAAGCCTCTATTATCCAATAACTCATTAAATTTGGAAATCCGTGAAAAGTTTACAAGATGTTACGTGTGGTCTGTACTTTTGTATGGATGTGAAACTTGGACTTTAAACGCCGATATCATGAATAAAAATCGAGGCGTTTGAGATGTGGTTGTATCGAAGGATACTAAAAATTCCATGGACTAGCAGAACCAGAAACGAAGAAGTTCTTCGAAGAATGGGACATCAACGAACTCTATTAAATATTATTAAGAGGCATAAACTAGAATATCTTGGACATATAATCAGAGGACCAAGATATGAGTTCCTTCGGCTAATTCTCAACGGTAAAATCGAAGGAAAGAAATGGATAGGACGGAAGAAACTCTCTTGGTTGAGGAATTTGCGGCAGTGGACAGGTTTGACAGCGGACCAATTGCTACACGTAGCGCAAGACCGAGATCAGTATAATAATATTATAAGCATGGTAGTCGCCGACGTTCCGTAGGGATATGGCACTCTAAGAAGAAGATTCCTGGAACTAAATCATTACCAACACAGGTGTTAGAATTATCCATAATGATTATATATTCGCTAAGGATTTCTGCTTAGTTGAAAAGATGTGTCGTGGAATGCAAATTTTAGATTCCCCACGTCTCTTTTAACACCTTTATCAACGTCTGTTTTGCTTTGCAATTTTTAGAAAGCACAGATAAAAGCAGAAATCTGAATTGTGTTTCGAAACTATTTTACGATTGTTAAATTAGATGTCGCTAGTGCGTCCGTATTCGAAGCCATGTTATTGTTGCTTCTTAAAAGACAGAGAATATTGATCTTTCACGTTGAGAACACCTTTGAATAACTGTTCTGATGAGACCTATTAGGTCGAAATACGTATCAACAGATACAAAGGCGCTGTTTGCGTGAAATCAAATATTTGCTGTCTTTTTCACTTTTTTTCGGATTTACTCTGTACGAGTACAAGAAACCAATTCGCTAAGGATTTCTGCTTAGTTGAAAAGATGTGTCGTGGAATGCAAATTTTAGATTCCCCACGTCTCTTTTAACACCTTTATCAACGTCTGTTTTGCTTTGCAATTTTTAGAAAGCACAGATAAAAGCAGAAATCTGAATTGTGTTTCGAAACTATTTTACGATGATTATATATTCGTTATTTGCGGTCTTGTTCTTCTATGGTGGTATCTGTGTTATTTTTAGGTGGATATATTGCTATCACATTCAGAAGTTTGACATTCAGTTTAAATCATCTTTCAAAGATACAAAAAATTAATATTATTATTAAGTTAATGCCTCGACAACTAAGATCATTGGCATGGTACATTCAGGTACCTAGTGTAGTGTGTGTGTGCGTGTGTGTAGAGTAAGTGTCTTGATACTTAGCAAAGTCGACGTCATTGTCTTTGCTAAGAGACGCTAATTGTATCCGAACGTCTGCGGTCCCTCCGGTGTGATACAAAAAATTGCATACATTTATATTTCAGAATATTAAATAAAAATGTCACAATAAACTAGTTTTAGTAATGGTAAGCACATCTAAAGCAAACGAGAATGACTTGTTTGGTATACAATTTACTTTCCAAAAATGGTTTAAATTCATTAAGCATCATTAAAGTTTTCTTACACATTTTCCACCTAATATTTCAGCTTTATAAAATATCTCGTTGGAATTTAAGCACAATTAGAACTAAACTTCTATAAATAAAAATAAAAAAAAATGAATTATAGGTTGCCTTTCTCCATTCCATGAGTTTAATGTACATCTTTAATTTCTATTTAGCAGATCTTAATTATTTGTTTTATCTCTCAAATAATTAACAACATAGACTCTGAAGTCATTGCATCTTTTATTTTTAACATTGTCCCCTTGGTTATAGTAAATTTTTCTACTCCTGAATTTTTTCTACTAAAAAATATATAATCACTGGCAACACACTTAGTCTCTTTAAATTTACTTATATATATATATATATATATATATATATATATTATATATATTATATATATATATATATATATATATATATATAAAGAAGTAATTGTGACTCGTTTGGAAAAAATATAAACTGTTTTGGATGGGTTGGAGTCAATAAAAGGGGCTATTTGTTGACTATTTTTTACTCGAGCTTTCAATTGTGATTACAATTTTATCAAGAGCTTCTAAAAAATACAAATATCTTACAAAGTTGAACTAGAAATAAAAAATTTTGTTGTTAACTCACCAAATAAAATTAGTTTTTTATATAAAGCTGCTGCTAACATTATTACAAAAAATATTATTAAAAAAATGCCCTATTCTAATAAATGTTTCTCTGAAATAAATTTTAATAAAGTTTCTTAACAAAAACAATTGAATTTGTAAACAAAAATTGAATAGCTACAATTTAGCCTAAATGTCGTAACACGCCTTTTGACATACTTACTGTCAAAAATAAAATTTTGTTTAAAAAATTCTTTTTTGTTTAGTAACGAAAAAGAAGAAGATTTATTCACCATTGATAGATGCCTGAAAAAAATTAACAAATACATGGAAAATTCAAAATGTGATATTATACTGATTTCATATATAAATTACAGAGAAATAATATAATTATAAATTTTGCTTAGATTTTGAATTTCTGACTATATTGGTGAGACTGGAAGAAATCTCTCAAATCACATTATTTCTCACAAAAGTGATTGCAGAATTAAGAAACCATCTTGTGCTTTGATAGAGCATATAATAGACAAGGACCATATTATGGATTTTGATAATATTAAAATTTTATGTAGTGAAAGTAATAAATTTAAAAGAACTTTTTTGGAAATGGTTTGTATTAGCAAAAGTGATAATAATTTAAACAAAAGGTCAGAAATTCAAAATCTAAGCAAAATTTATAATTATATTATTTCTATGTAATTTATATATGCAATCAGTAAAATATCACATTTTGAATTTTCCATGTATTTGTTACATTTTTTCAGGCATCTATCAATGGTGAATAAATCTTCTTCTTTTTTGTTACTAAACAAAAAAGAATTTTTTAAACAAAATTTTATTTTTGACAATATGTCAAAAATAAAAATTTTTAAGTTGGTATTTACGACATTTAGGCTGAATTGTAGCTATTCAATTTTTGTTTACAAATTCAATTGTTTTTGTTAAGAAACTTTATCAAAATTTATTTCAGAGAAACATTTATTAGAATAGGGCATTTTTTTAATAATATTTTTTGTAATAATATTAGCAGCAGCTTTATATAAACAACAATATTTTTTTTATTTCTAGTTCAACTTTGTAAGATATTTTGTATTTTTTAGAAGCTCTTGATAAAAATTGTCAACAAATAGCCCCTTTTATTGACTCCAACCCATCCAAAACAGTTGTTTACATAACCATATATATATATATATATATATATATATATATATATATATATATATATATATATCATCATCATCAGTGGTGCTACAGCTCTAGTTGAGCCTTGACCTTCCCCAGTCTATTTCGCCAGTCGTTTCTGTTCATCGCCAACCGTTGCCAATTTGCCGCGCCGATTTTCCTTGCGTCCTCGTCCACACCGTCCCTCCATCTCAGTCGTGGTCTGCCTCTACTCCTATTTCCCACTGGGACCGATAATAGAGTTCGTCTGGGTGGGTAATTTTCATTTGCTCTTGACACATGTCCAGCCCATCTAAGCCTACCTATTTTTATGAAGGATATTACATCTCTACCATTTACTATTTTTTTATACTTCTCGTACAATTCGAAATTATATCGCCTTCTCCAAATACCATTCTCACAGAATGCGCCCATTATTCTTCTTAGTATCTTCCTTTCGAAGACGAGCAGAAGATTTGCGTCTGTTTTGGAGATGGTCCATGTTTCTGACCCATATGTCAGCACTGGTAGGATGAGTGTTCGATATATTATTAGTTTGGTTTTCTGGCTTAAATTTCTGTTTTTTAGCTGCTTGCTTAGTCCAAAATAACATTTGTTTGCTAGCAGTACCCTCCGTTTAACTTCTTCAGATGTGTCATTATCGTTTGTTATGAGAGAACCCAAATATGTAAACTTATTTACTACCTCAAAATTATATTGGTCTATATTGAAGTTTTGTTCGGCGTTTCTAGCTATATCTCTGTTATTTGGAATAGATGCTAACATTTTGGTTTTTTCCTCGTTTATTTTAAGGCCCATATTTTGTGCGGCTGTCAAAAAGGTAGAAGTCATCTCTTTAAGTCCTCGTGTAGTACGTGCGATCAAATCCAGATCGTCAGCGTAAGCCATAATCTGCGTTGATTTATTAAAGATTGTTCCCCTATTGTGTAACTCGGCATCTCATATATATATATATATATATATATATATATATATATATATATATATATTATAATATATATATATACACCGAGATTATTACAGCTGCCGCCGTTTCTCGCAACCTAGCTTCCAACGCTTGCGATCGTTCCAGTCATCTACTTGTAGACCCCTATCTTCCATTGCACCTTTTACTTCTTGTCTCCACGATCTTCTTGGTCTTCCCTTTTTCCTGCGGTTAGTCGGGATCCACTGTAACATTCTCTTTGGCCATCGTTGATCATTCATCCTTTCTACATGGCCATACCATTTCAGCCTTTTGCATTCTATAGTTTCCAGGATGTCAATGTCTATGCCCATACGCTCTCTGATTTCAGTATTCCTTACTCTATCTCTTCTAGTGAGTTGGCAACATCTTCTCCAATAATTCATTTCCATTGCTTTTATTTTGGATGCGTCATTTTTATTTATTACCCAAAGCTCTGAACCATATGTAGCAATGCTTTCTATGATACTTTTGTATATCCTAATTTTGTGTTTCGTGATGGTATTCCAAGTATACAGTTGACGTATTGCTGAATTTCCTTGACCAATTCTAGTAGCTATTTCTTTTGTATTCTGACCATTGTTTGTAATGTTTACACCGAGATATTTATAGCTATCAGTATTTTGAATTTGTTTGCTTCCTAGTTCTAAGTGCTTTCCTTCACCTCCCACTACTACGTACTCTGTTTTTGATGGATTAATTGATAAGCCCCACTTAGTATATTCTTCATCTATTTTTCGTAACATGTAGTGGATATCATCTTGATCTTCTGCAAGTATTACTTGGTCATCAGCAAAATGCAAGCTGTACAGTGTATGGTCTCCAATTTTAACACCCATAGGTTCACATTTTCTTTTTCAAATATCCAAAATCCCCTCCAAATAAATCTTAAAGATTGTAGGTGCAATGCAGCAGCCTTGGCAAAGTCCTTTGGTCACTTTTATCTTTTTTGTCACTTTTTGTCCAATCTTTATTATACTCGTCATATCATCATACAACTCCTTTACAGCATTAATGTAAATCGGTGGAATATTCTTGTCTTCTAGCACCTGCCATAGCTTGGCTAATGGGACACTGTCATACGCTTTTTGAAGATCAATAAATACCATGTATGTCTCCATATTATGTTCCAAACGCTTTTCTATTGTTTGTTTTAGGCAGAACACATTGTCTATACAAGAACGACCAGTACAAAAGCCACTCTGATCTTCAGCGTCTTCCCAACAATCTTCAATTCGGCTTTTAATTATCTTCCCGTAGACTCTACAGATTGAGTTAGTTACACTAAGCCCTCGGTAGTTCTTACAATCTTTTCTGTCGCCTTTATTTTTATATAGATTGCTGATATATGCAGTTTTCCATTCTGGGGATACCTCTTCTTCTCTCAAGAATAAATTAAAAGATTTACTTAATGTGGTATAAATATTGTCAAGCTTTCAAATCTACTTATTCGTGCATGCACTATCACTATTGAATTTGTTTTTAGTCATGTAAACTGTATCTAATTTTACACGTGAACGAATATTTTCCATATTAAAATGATTTATACACCAATGAAACATTTTCGTAATATATTTTAAAGTAGTTGCATGAAATAAATCGTTCAATTTGAGCTCCGTCGCTTAATATGCATCGCCTCTGGAAACCTTTGTACTTTACGAAATATGCGGAAAAATTTCTTTACATTTTATTTTTCTTTGCGGTCACTCTATTGCACCTTACATTTTAAGATAGTTCTGCTGAACTGAGCAAAATAGTAATTTTAATATATAAAACTACTCTACGGGTGAAATATTTTCGTATTATAAAAAAGAGAAAATTTTGCCTGCAATATTTTCGACTGATATTAAAATTTGTTGCCTGGCAATTTTCGCGAATTAAATATTGGCAGTTAAATCACGAGACGTCAGTAGAGTGATTTTGTTTTGACGTCTGAAATTTCATAAGCAAAATTTGCCAAAAGGCAACAAACGTGAATAAAATCAGAAAAAAATTTTACTGGTAAATAATCTCTCGAATAATATTCGACAAGATTATTTCACGAGACAATTAATGCACCATATCAACAAAACATAATCTTTATTTATTTGTTAACAATAATAAATGTACAATTATTGTGAAAACTAGTAGTTTGCCCCTTTGTTTTCTACCACAGCATATCTTTGTCAACCATTTTCCATCCACTCCTGAATGTAGGTCTCTCCCAGTTGCTTCCATCTTTCTCTATCTTGCGTCAATCTAATCCACTGTTTGTCTGCCAC